CATACTTATATCTTGTTGTGATACTATTAACATGTAAGATGAATATCGGGATGATAAAAGTAAGAAAAACTATATACTAATATATGCCTTTTTGTATACTTATATCTTGTTGTGATACTATTAACATGTAAGATGAATATTGGGATAATAAAAGTAAGAAAAACTATATACCGGTATATGTCCTTTTTATCTTGTTGTGATACTATTAACATATAAGATGAATATCGGGATGATAAAAGTAAGAAAAACTATATACCGATATATGCCTTTTTGTATACTTATATCTTGTTGTAATGCCGATATTTATATCAGAACAATATAGATAAACAAAAAGTATATTATTTTATATCTGATATCTATTCTTTATATTGCTCTAATACTGATATCTGTTATTCTACCGATATCATACTTTTTAAATTAACCTGATATTCATATCAGTATAATAATAGGATTATATAAGCATATCCTGATAGTCATACATTCGACCTGTGTATATATATGGGACATGTGATATCTAGCAAAATAGGAATATCCCACCATCTAATTGATCTAGAGGCATCTAGAGTTGAGGTAAGCAAACTACAGACACCATGTAGACCAATGGTGAGGTAAATAGGAGTTATGATGACTATACTGAGCTGGTACGTCTCACTCAAAGTTGGTTCACGGAGGTTCGGGAACTATAATACCGCAGGGGAGGAACCTAGGATATCTGCGGTTGTTAATAACTAATTAGGAAGGTTATGGCTTGAGATATAGACTAGGTTATGGCAGCATCCCAAAAAGGTGGCTTGAGATACGAACTCGGTGATGGCAGCATAATATGTACTAATAGGTTAGAGATTACCAATAATGTACTAAATTTCTGTTGTAAAATAATGTGTTGTATTATGCATCCACAATAATGAGTAATAAAGAGGCAGTGTCATTAAAAAAAAATATATATATATATATATAATATTTTTTTAGCTTTATACAAGTTATAATAGTGTACTTTCTTTTTTTTTTTTTTATATGTATATCATGATTATAACCTTTTTTTTATTTTTTCTATCTCCTTCTTTTATATTTTATCTTTTGTTAGTGTGCTTATCACCTTTTTTTTTTTATCCTCTTTATACTTATTTCCTTTTTTTACACTTTTTTTCATTCTGTTTTTGATTTTTTTTTCATTGTAGTTAAATTATATAATAATCTTTTTGCCAAAATCCAGGTAAAAAAAATTCAAAAAAAAAAAGTAGTTATGACAGGCTAGTAGAACTAAGTTAAGGATATATTTGGAGGAACCATAAGAAACAATCAAGTATTGAAATGAATTCTACTTTGACAGGTTACATATAGGTGCCTATAGTAACAGGATAAGTTATATTTTCTATTTACAGATACTTAGTATCAGATATAGTATTAGTATTTGCATATGTAACTATTATCTTTTTAATAAAATATAGCATAACCGTTTGGATTTAAAAAAAATAATAATAATAAAGAATAAAGAATCTATAACACTTCTAAATTCTATTTTAAAATTTACTATACAAAAACATGCTTTTTTTTATTTTATAACAGATTTTTTAACATAATAAAATAATGGTTTGTAATAATTTAAAAATCTATAATGATAATAATGTAAAAAGAGAACAATTTTTTTTCTAATCAATTAATGAAAATAACCCTCCGAGGCTATGTTGATTTTGTAAATAAAAATTAAATTTGTTAGCTATCTAGTTATCCAATCTGAATGAAATTTTTTTTAATTTGTAGGTTCTATTGAAATTTACAAAATAAAAAAAAAGTTTATTCAAATTGATGGCTGGCAAATTTAATTTTTATTCACAAATCAACATAGCCTCGGAGGCTCATTTTCATAGCAAAGATCCCATTTGACCAATTTGACCAGTTTTACCAATGAATTTTTGGTCGACCAGTGATTTGACCAACCCTGATTTAAATAAAATTTATTATATAATATATATTATTTATATAATAGATTTGACCAGTTTGGCCATTTGACCAATTTTGACCAGTAAATTTTTGGTCGACCATTAATTTTCCCAACACTATAAACGGTCATATATCTATTTATAACGTGGTTGGAATGTAGTTCTGTAGATAATTGTCTGATATATGTAGTTTTAGAATTATTAACCATCGCTAAAAATTTAAGAATTTCGTGAGTGTGAGCTTTTTTGTTTCTGGACTTTAAATATAAAATACAGTATTAGGCATATATTTCTGTACCAATACTCAAAAAAGAAAAAAAAATTACTATCCGATAGAACAGCACCATTTAAATCTCCGATATAATTCTCGATGTTGCTTATCGGTTCCAATCAATTCAAATCATGTTATTCAAAGTAATCAGTCTTCAAATTTATATTACCGAACAGTTTCTTCTCGTCGACTAACTCTGCACCTGTAATGTTATCGGAACCTATCTGTTGGTAAGTTTCTGAACTATTAATTAAAGCAGCCACATTGTTTGGGTCAAATTCTAATGAATTTATTTAGACATTAAAATGATTTTTAGTTTCTGAAAACACAGGCAACTTTCCAAGAATGCTATCCGACGCCTTGATGAGGGATTCTACCGACATGAACAAGTTATTAAACAGCTTATACACAGGATCTTAAGTCGATGTTACATGGATTCAGGTTTGATAACTTTATTTTAAAAATGTGTGATTTTACTTGCAGTAGACCTAAATGAATTTTTTGGTTCACATAAGTCAGCTGGGTCGAATTTTGAATTTTTTGACTATTTATTATCTAGGATATTTATATATTTTTTATGTATAAAATTTTTTTGAAAATAAAATTAAAAGCCAAGTTGCCACGTCATTTCTTAAAATTTATGTTATGAAAATCCAAAAAGAATTTTGTATGGCCTAATACTTCTATTTTGTAAGATTATACTGTATGAAAGAGCATCATGTAGCCATTGTAAATACAAGAAAGCAAAAAAAGGTGAAGTGTGTATTGTGATTGTTTCAAATAGAAGTTTGGTTGGAACAAGTAGAGGTGAAGCGTTCTTTAATAGCCAATACTTAAACTGTCTCCCTTAATGGACAAATTCTTTTCAAAGAATTAGTAAGATGCTTATTCTTTGTACGGTAAAACTATACTTTCTGGCACTTGGCAATCATCCTTTATAATGATTAATCAAGATCTTTAAAAAAAGTACTAATATAAAGGTTGTGTTTATATAGAAATATTAGTTTATATGTTTAAATACATAATGTGATACAGTTAATATCATTATACTGTATGATTATATATATAGAGGATTGACTGGAATTGTTACCCTGTGTCAGAACTTATTAGATAGATTATTCCACTAATTTATTGTTAGCGAAAATACGTACAGAATATTAATATTGTTTGATAAATTAAAGCTGTTACGCAATTAATCAATTGGCTAATTTTTAGATGCTACTCGCTCTTTGAAACATTATTATAAAAAATAGAAAAACCACCAATATGAAGTTCAATAGCTGGCTAACGTTCCGTTATATGAATTTGGTTCATTATAAGTTACTCAAAAGACAGTCTTAGTCAATATTTTTTTTTAAAAAAACAAATATTCTTTATTTCTCAACCGTTAGCATATAAACGAAATAAAACTATAAAATGGATCAAAATTATTTTTTTTTGGATACTAGAGGCGTGCTGTTCAAATTGACACAAGAAATCACCAGAGTCTTTGGGCAACATTGTTAATAAATTGGGTTATTAAGTGTTTACCATATTTGTATTTTTTTTGAAACATTAACAATGACTAGTGGAAGCCATGTGACCCATAACCCTGAATTTAAATTTAAATCGGGGAATTCTTTTTGCTCTTCGAGTGTACAACATATTATACACAAGCTTGAAACTTTTATACTTATATCAGAATAAACCTTACAAAGAAAATGAGTGAAGTAGATGGTATATTTAATTTTGCTAACATTGTGTTTTATTATACGTATTATTGTTTTTTCACTTTGCATTTATGGTCATGTTTTCAGCTCCAAACGGTTCTGACCATTTTTCGCAGGATCAAGATGAACGTCACCGCGACGGACGACACCCAGAAGAAAGACATCGAGATGAAAGGGACGAAAGGGATGAAAGGGACGAAAGGGACGAAAGGGACGACAGGGATGATAGGGATGATAGAGACGACAGACATCATGACAGCCGTCATAGGGACGACCGTCATGACGAACGACACGATCGCAGTCCAAGTCAATCACGATCAAGATCGTCTAATAGGTCTCGATCCCCAAGAGAAAGGAGGTACAATATAAAAATTTTATTTTATTCATTATTAACGGGTATAATACACCACAAAAATTATAACTAATAAAAATGCTCAATAACAGCACTTCTGATAGACATTATAGTAGGGAGGCAGATGATATAAATCCTGGGAATAATTTGTTCGTTACAGGGTTATCTACCAGAACAGGTGATCGAGAATTAGAAGAATTATTCGCAAAATATGGCAAGGTATTTTTTTTATTTTTTTACAATGCTAATATTTTTTATGCATTTCATTTCACCGGTTATTGACGGTTATATGTCGGTAATAGGTTGTAAAGGCCCAAATTATGTACGATCCTCACACTCGAGAATCCCGTGGTTTTGGTTTTGTAACGATGGATACAACTGATGAAGCTGATGCAGCAAGACAAAGTATCCATGGTTCAGAGATTAATGGCCGTGTTATAACTGTGGAAAAGGTAAATTTTAATTAAGAATTGTATGGATCATTTTTACAATTTTAAATTAAAGCTCTAATTGATATTAATTACTTTTGAAGGCCCGTCGCTCTAGAGCTAGAACTCCAACTCCTGGTCGTTATTATGGACCGCCTAAACGTCGTGGTACGTAAAAAAAATTACGGGGGGGGGGGGGTTTTTTTTTTTTTGTATCTGCCAATACCTCTAATGCATTATTGGCCTTATGATTTTAAATTACAGAATCTCGTCGAGTTGACAGATTTGATCCTAGATATGAATATAGTAGACCTTATGATCGCTACGATAGGCCACCGAGAGGTTATGGGCGTGAACCGTACTATGATCGTGCATATGATCGGCCATATTATGACAGGGGATATGAAAGAGGCTACGACCGCGCATACGACAGAGCATATGATCGGACTTATGATAGAGATCGTCGACCACCTCCACCGACCCGTTATGAACCTTACCCGCGACCTCGTTCGCCTTACTAACCATATATTCTAGTTTGTGTTTGTCGGAAAAAGATTTATTCTAAGAACCCGTCATTAGAAATATTCATTGTATAGCCTAATTGTTTCTAGTGATGTGGATATGCTATCGTATTTGTTTTTTTTTTCAATCGCGTCCCTCAGCTTTTTGTGGGCAACAAAATATCAACTACATCCGTGTTCGGCCTTCTTTCAGCTTAGCAAAGTCAACACAAAAGGGTCAGCAGTTTTTTCGACCTGTGTACATCAACTGGCAACTAACTCAGCATTCAACAAACAATAAACATCATATACCGACGCTTTCAGCTTTTTTTTTTCAGTTTCATCCCTTCACTACTTCCTATTTCGACACATCACTAAATCGATATTCACAGCAACGCCTCATTGGTGTAAAAAAAAAAAAAAAAAAAAAAAAAAAAAAAAAAAAAAAATTTTTAATAAAAAAAAAAAAAAAAAAAAAAAAGTGAAACTTTATCACCAATCTTGAATGATAACCAAGAAATGA